GGGAACACGGGAGTGTGCACGTCGTACACAACATTGCTCTAGCGAAGCAAAACCACTCAGGATAGCCAGGATAGTACCTGATTTTTTGTGGATGATACATGTGTAACACCGCCGTACGATCCGTGCCGTCCTAACTGTATTATGGCGCGGATGTGTAATTTGTCATAATGGCAGTGGTGTGTATAGGTTATGTGTTCAGTTTCTCTTTGTGAGTGAAGCTGTGAATATTAATTGGTTTGAACGTTCTTAAAATTCCTGAAATATAAGATAGGGACATCTATAAGCACTGTGTAACTATAGGCGGTAAAAGGAAATTGAAGTTTTAATAACAAGGTTGTTAAAGGTTAGCAGTACCATGTTCTTATCATTCCTGATATGAAAGTTGTAAATTTGAAGTTGTGATATTTTCATGTCATTGTTGCAGAATTTTGTATAGTAGTATGAGCGCATAAGACATAAAGTATGTTTAGAGGGATATTATGTCTCCTACCTTTTAATATATCCTTGAAATCGCGTACTTACTTATTTATTTAGGGAGCTGAGCCCTTCTTGAGAAGCCGCCAATTGTGCAGCCACTCAAGAATTTACCAGCATTTTATGGAACCCGAAGGTTCATTACAGTGTTCACAAAAGCCTTCCACTGGTCCCTATCCCGAGCCAGATCAATCCAATCCATACCATTCCATCCTGTCTTTCTAATATCCATTTTAATATTGTCCACTCACCTACGCCTTGGTCTTCCCAGTGGTCTCTTTCCTTTTGGCTTTCCCACCAATATCCTATATGCATTTCTATTCTCCTTTCATGCTACATATCCTGCCCACCTCATCCTCCTTGACTTAATCATTCTAATTATACTTGGAGAAGAGTACAAGCTATGAAATCACAGTGATTGAGGCTAGCTCTTTCTAAAGGATCCAACAGACTAGGTGTTTTCCCTCACCTGAGGACAGAAACAGATCCAGTTTCCGAAACGTATTGTTGTTCTTAGTTATCTTAAAAACCAGGATGATGGATAAAGTCCAAAAACCCAAGATCTCTGTGTGTTATACAGCATCGTCAGAATCCTATAGTAACTAGTGATATTTGTCCAGCACATTCACGCTACAGATACAGGAACTAGTTTTGTATACAGATGTACAGTCAGGTTCAAGACAAGTGAAGGCACTATTTCTGGTGTAGATGGATGTGGCACAAGGAAGAAACTCAGTTTTAGCCATGGAAAACTCACCACAGAAGCTATGGGAAAACAAAAGGTATATATCCTGCCATTCAGTCCAGCAAAGTGTAAGGCTTGGGGTGCAACTGATATGGGTGTTGGGAACTGAGAGAACTGATGATTTGGTAGGGGCTGGATCTGGACTTCTTTAATAAGATTTGAACCTGTGGTATCTTGGTGACAGTTTTCTGCATGGTCATCAATGGCTGGATGAATAGACTACCTAGAATGTTCCTGGGCAAAAACATGTGAAGAGCTTTCTTTGGAAACCTCCACAGAAACGAATAGGAAACTGGTATGAAGTACTTATGTCACCACTTGAAAGGATGTCTGCTCAAACTGGGACTTTGTAAAAAGTCCCACCTGTGAAAGGTGTCATGACAAAGGGGACACAGGCTCACACATACTATGTGACAGGTTCAATATTAATTAAGATTTCATTTCTGCAACTCTGTTTCTTGAACATGGTTTATGCTGACCGTCTTACAGTGTATACACTTTTTCACCTTATTCTTCACTTCCACACTACATGTTTCAGCACTAATGTGCCATCTTCAGGTGTCTTTATGCACGTTAAACTATTGTACTGCATGCCACAATGTCTCCATTCTAAAATGACTAAAAACTGTGTTCGTCATATAGGACGATGAGTTCTAAATAATAAAACTTTTCAGGATTCTTCCTACGTCGCACTCAAACACGCGAATTACGCCAATCCTCTTTTATGTGAGTATTCCTCCTACATATATTTGTGTATCGTGTTGTACTGCTGGATCCAGCAGTACAACGCATGCAGTAACAGGAGCAAAACACAACACAGAACACGATACACAAATATATGTAGGAGGAATGCTCACATAAAAGAGGATTGGCGTAATTCGCGTGTTTGAGTGCGACGTAGGAAGAATCCTGAAAAGTTTTATTATTTAGAATTATCGTCCTACATGACGAACACAGTTTTTAGTCATTTTAGAATGGAGACATTGTGGCATGCAGTACAGTAGTTTAACGTGCATAAAGACACCTGAAGATGGCACATTAGTGCCGAAACATGTAGTGTGGAAGTGAAGAATAAGGTGAAAAAGTGTATACACTGTAAGACGGTCAGCATAAACCATGGACATGAATCAGTGTAACAGGACACTAAAATATAACACTGTTTCTTGAAGCAAAGTGACTATCAGAAGGCCCCATTAAACGAAGTACTGTCCCATGTTCAAAGCACAGAATTGCTAGATGGCTAATCTGTGAAAGGGGATGCCCAGCAGACTAAAGATTGTTTTAATGCACAGTAAAAAATAAATGGACTAAAAGAAAAAGTAGCTGGAGAAAAAATGGATGCAACAGAAGAAAATTAATCATGCTTTTCATTATCACCACCCCCAACTACCAGAATTGGGCAGTGTATTTTTTTCAGATTCTTTCTGCTGGAATATTATAACAGGATTAGTTGAAAAATACAAACTTTTTTTGTGACTAGTGCCATTAGTAGTTAAAGCCATAGTGAAAATCCAGGCACAAGCACTGTACCATGGGGGACTTAAATCTACAGTTGACATAAAAAATGTTTACTTACTGTTAAATAACAGTGAATGTAACAGTTTTGGCAGCTTTGCCTCAGCATTGCCTGACTGGATAAAATTTCTTTTCTATGTTTAGCATCCTTGTTTTGTTTTATTGAATGCTTTTCTGTATTTAGGTGTGATGATGCGGCTGAAAATGAAGAAAAGGAGCAAAACTCACGCTGCACAGAAGGATATATATTCAGTCAGCGAAGCAAAAAACTATGCAGAAAGTGATAATATTGGTAAGAAGTGGTACAATGTGGTAAGTTTCATGTTTGACCCTCATATTTACAGTGTAGGTTATAAGGCTAATGCAGCATCCCTGTAAAAAAGTTTTTTTTGGATGTTCAATTTGATTGAAGAAATCTGTGACATGAACTCCTATTGTTCATAGATGACCTTGTTTTCACAGTTTTTTCACTGAGGTGGTTTAGTTCGTGTTATTTTCTCTCTCTCTCCTAACCCCCCCTCTACCACCCTTGCTTGGAGATAGGAAGTTGTGGGAGGGGGGTGACATGTTTGTGAGTGTATGTGAATGTGTGTATGCATGTAGGCAAGAGTGTGTGAATGTGAGTATGAACAGTTTACCTTTACTGTAGGACCCTTGTAAGAAGTCTTTCATGGGACCAGGAAATATAACTTACTAGCCTCTTAAAAGGATAGGCTTCAAAATGTTCACAGAATTTATTATATCCCTTGTAGAAAATTAATGGAAGAAACATATTTTTGCACTGAACAAGTGGATAATAACACCCTAAATACACAGGCTTTCATGTATACATATTCTTGATATAATGGTTAAGTCAGATAGTCTGTTTGAAATGTTATTATGTTTTGAAGAATACATGTGTTCAGAAATACTGGGTTTTCAGACTCTGTCCGTCATACGGTATTCTAAAAATTAGAAACTGGAAATGTTTGCAAAACATTGTGTTTTCTAGTTTTCAGAATACTGGATGATGGACAGAGTCCAAAAAGCCTGTAATTCTGAGCATTATATACCATTGTCAGATCCATTTCAAATTTGAAGTAAAATTTTCAAGTTCCAACAGGTTTCTTAAAGTGGAGTCTGGCACATCAGGAATATCACTAAGGAAATGTTGGTGCATGCTGGTCTAAAAATGGCAATATTTTCCAGTTTTTGGCTGCCATTCTCATTTCCGAACATTTTAGACACTCCATGAACAGTGCACAAGTCATGTCTGTGTGCACGTGGTAGGCATTTAACATGCTAGAAGCACTTGGTGTCTTTGACTTTCCAGTTACTAGCAGTGGCTTCTTTTCAGATCTACCATATTTACACATATAAGAACATTAATTCTGTCTTTACTCCTGTTACTCCTGTGAAAACTTTCATCTTCGAAAGCATGTTTTGTCTAGGAGTAAGCTCAGAAAACCCCCACACATTTGTACTAAATATATTGTCGCGTATTGGGCGTATATCGCGACAAATAACTTCACGCCGTATTTGCTATAGCGAATTTTATTTCACATCCGCTCTTACAGTCACCCAAATTACAGATTTACGATTACTGCTATCTGCAGTATCACAAATATTACATTCCAAACGCCAGAATACAACTGACTAGTTGCTGGCTAACTCGGAACTCACTCGGCGGTAGCTCCCGGACTAACTGACTGACTCAGTACAACTCTGCGGTAGCCACACTAGAACTGACTAGTAGCTGCTGTGCAGCTCACTTATATAGCTGCTGTGCAGCTCACTTATATAGCTGCAGTGCTTGCCGGTTGCGTAATGAGTGCCACATCACAGTAGGAAGTTGATTATGGGTAC